TCCTCCACCTCATCATTTATCCTACGTGGCATTGCTAAGATAGAACCATTGTATATGCCCTTACGTACGCGCATTAACTCTCCTCACCCGCCACGTACAATACGGCAGGCATGTCGCATCTCCAGGGAATCGAACGCATGACGATTCGGCGCAGCCCACTGCAGTTTTATATTGGACTTGCCCCTTGCGTGTCGACAAGCTGATCGTTTTCCTCCTGTCCCTGGCGGCTGGAACCCTAGCCGCCGCCAGGAGACCCAATCTTCCAGCGCTGTTCTCCGGTGGCTCCCTTCCGCCGGTGACCTCGGTCGTCGGTGGTGAGGGGGGTCGCCAGATCCACGCGTGTGAATCGTTTTTACTCCTTTGTGGTTTAGATTTTTAGGTTGTTCATCGTCTTTGCTTCGGCGGCGACGATGACAGCGCGGAATAAAGATTCTTCGGATCCTTTCTTGATAAGGCCATCGGTCCTATGGTTGGGGATGGATTTGGAAACCAGTCTGTTCAAGCAAGGATAGCATGGCGGCGGCGGCATCCTCGTGGTGGACCCGTGTCCTCGGGCTCCGCCATTGCGACGACGTTTGCTCCAGCGTTGGCGCGGAGCTTGGGAGGTAGTCCAGGAGCGGATGCAGATGGTGGTCTGCATCGACGACATCTGGAAGACGGAACATGTGCTGGGTTCGTGGTTCGTGGATGGCAAATATGGTTTCCTTCTGCGACGTCTTAGTCGCGGTGGGGTGCCAAATCTGGAGTTTGATGGTGTGTCCGGGGTGTTGCCCCGGTCTGATTCGTTCAACGGTAAGGGCTTCACTTTTGGTGAGCCACCTTGGAGGTCCGCAAAGCTGCATATCAGCGATGGAGCCGCGTCGAGCTCGGGTGAGGAGGTGATCCATCGTTCTTTTCTTCGGTGGCTGATGTCGTGGTGCCGGAGGCAGGTGATGGGCGTTGGTATCAAGCTCAGAGAGTTCTGCTATCTTTTTAGTTTTGCCATGTCGGTCCTTACGTGACTTGCACTTTAATCTTTATGATATGAATGAGACACATATTACCATGCAAAAAAAAAAAAGAATGCATGACGATTCCGAGAGCGTGCGAGCTCTTCCGCGCCTGGCAATTTTCGACCTCTTCCTATCTATAGTCTGGCAGACGTCCAGCGCCAGACCTGTCCAACGCCGTTGATCCAATTGAAATCTGACGGCTCAGAAATTGTGCTTCTTACGTGATAAAAAAAATCGGCAGGGAACTAACTACTTGCAGCCCCCTTGCGTAATCCTCTCCCCTAATCTCTCCCGATTCCAATCGCAGCAGCACCAGACTGATCTCCTCCACCTCGCCCAGATCCCTTCTCCCCTGCCTCGCACGCAACTTCGTCCTGCTCTCCTCGCCGTGGAGCAGCACGGCCACCCAACCAGCCAGCTCCACCCCTGCCTCTCCAAACATAGATCAAGCCCCCCATCCTCATCTTGATTGGTGCTTTTTTCAGGTCAAACCACGTGTGCTGGCGGCTGAACCGGCTACAGGAGTAGCACCGGCCGGCCAGAGAACCTATAGTGGATTGCAAAATCTGCCCCCACCACCCCAATTACAAGCGCCCCGTATTGAAATCAAAGGTATTTCAGTGCATCTACTGCCGCAGATTTGACTATCCAACAACCGACTACTCATTGGTTTGTATATTCATTTGCTGCCTAGTATTGCTCTGGTGATGTGTGGGCCATTTATCATCAAACTTTTTGTAGGTCGAGCTTTGTGTAGATAGATAACCCATAGCTATATATGTATGCAGGCAACCGTGGCTATTCCATAATTTCAATATTCGGTGCATCGAATAATGGTGAGAAATGCAGAGAAAACATTGTTTCATTGCTTCCTGTATAAAAGAGCTTTGAAATATATGCATACGCAGTTGGCGGCATTTTTTTTCTTTCATTTATCAGGACTTCATGCTTCCACCCAACAATAATAATGCACCATTTGAATTATTTTCCAGCTTCATACCTCAAGAAAAATGGAAGCATGACCGTACCAAATATATGCATCGACGATTGTTTGTTAGATTACTGTTAATAGGTTTGTTTGTGAGTACACTTTGGTGCAAAATGTTCCAAGAAATTACTATTAGATGGGAGCTTCCAAATATATGCATCTGCAGTTGGCGGAAAAAAATTGGTTTCATTTTCCAAAATTTACATGCATCCACCCAACACTAATGATGCACCATTTTTGTTATTTGCCAGTTTCATCCTCTAGAAAACTGGAAGCACGATCATACCAAATATATGCATCGAGGGTTGTTTGTTAGAATTACAGTTAAAAGGCTTGTTTACCAGTATGCTCTCTGCAAACCATCTCTTATATAGAGGTACTACTGCACTACAAACATTCTTTTCAAATTTGTCCTATACGTCCTATCATTTATGTTTTGGTAGATCAAACCTCTCTTATTTTCTTATGTGTGCTTCTAATATACAACTGTTTTGCACCACATGATATTTTGCTTCCATATTTTTATTAAAGAGAGCTTTGCTTCCATAGTTCAACCATATTCTGTAAACTTTTTGAAATGTAGGTCATCGAACCATGTGTGAGTTCTGCTTGACTCCACCCTTGATGACGTGGTGGTCATAGCCTCAAACTGTATGTGCGACATTTATGGTTGTGGTCTGTGGAAGACACAAAGGAGCCCGTGGCCGTGCATGCCATGCCCATAGAAGAGATAGTGGTTTGGATAAGATTAGAAGCCGGTGACCATATTTGTCCACAAAAGAGACAATGTGCTAGCATCTGGCTCAAGTTAAAGAATTTTTTTATTCCTTGGATGCAAATTATATTTTATTCGGAAGCAGATTCTAATATCTCTAGAAGCAATGTCTTATTGATGGAAACAAATATATTTTTCCTGTTGGGAGCAATTCCATGTTACACTTGTACAATTTTTGGTTGTCGTATTGTGTGTAGCAAAAAAATACACTGGTATATTGTACATGTTTTTTCACTAGATCGAAGCAATCATCCGCTGGCATGAAACAATTTCTCGGCGAGTAACATGACTTACATGTTTTTTCCCGGCATTATACAACTTGTTTCATGCTTCCGTAGCTGCTTGCTTCAAGTACATTTTGTTGATCTACTTCATACAACTTACTTTCATGTTTCAAATGACGAATGTTTCAAATTTGATCACCTGGTCCGATCTGGTCAACCACTTCAATGTGTCAGTTCACGATGCATCTCGGTCTGCAGCGGCTGCCGGCTTGTTCAATATATAAAACACGTAAGGAAGCACACAGATAGCAGAGTGAAGCAAATATTATAGTAAATGTGTAACGTATGATGTGAAGCATGTTAATGCAGGTCGATGTGGGAGCAAAATTCTGGCAATCAGAATGAAGCAAATATTGAGGTCGTTGGAAACAAAATATTTATGATGAAGCACCGTGACGAAAGAAGCAAATGTTTACGTGGTTAGAAACATGTTATACGAAACGATGAAGCATGTTAATTTTCAGTCGATGTGAAAGCAAAAAACAATTAGCAATAGAAGCATATTTTTGGTGCCGCAGAGATGAATAGAAACAATTTTTTTGGTGTAAAAACAACTTTTTATTTGCGTTGGAAGCAAATTTTGGTAACATTGGATACAAAGTTTGCTTTATAAGGAAACAAATTGCATGGTTATTTTCCGTTAAAATCAGTTACCTAAGATTTGTTTTGCTCCCTAAAATCATGGATTACTTCCCTCAAATCGCGTGATATGCACAGTTATTAGTTTCCTTCAATTACACAAGGCTGTGCACAGTTATTAGTTTCCTCTAATCATGCAAGGAAATTGCTTTCCTGATGACGTCCAACCATCTAATCGAACGCTAGCTTAGGTAGGTTCCAATCTAACGGTGATGAAGTAGTCTGAAGATTGCTAGGGATCAGTAGTCTGATCCCTAGTGGTGCCCACCTACACAAATCGCTGGCTTCTCGTTTTCAACTCCAGGATTTAGCGCGTTCGCCTCAGCTCCACTGGCGGAGCTGGAGAAGCCGGGAGCTGGAGGGCTGCCGAAGGGAGAGGATTTGTGGCGGCTTTGCTATATCAATGGGCTATTACAGGGTTTTACAGGGCTTGGCGCCCACCCTCACCAGTTAAAATCAGGGGAGGCCGATTAATTAGGAGAAGAAGGTTAGTTAGTCCAATTAAAGAAGGACATGTCAGCTGGTCCCTAAAAGCCCGTCGATATAGTCCGTGTATCTAGCATTTTTGGATTTGTGGTCTATGGGGACATATGCACCCTACATGAAGAAATTTTTAGTAATTCAACAAAAAATCAATAATTCCTGAAAATATTTTTGAAATAAACTTGACCTTTTATTGTACTCGTGAGAAAAAATCTAAAAAAAAATATCTCTTTGACTTATTTTCAAAAAGAAAAATTTTAGGCTAAAATAGTGTGAATAGTGACCTGTAATATCAAATAAAATTTGTCTTTTTTTGCTGTGAAGTCATTTTTTGCTTTTTTCATGAAAATTTATATACTAGTGCAAAGCTTAGTCAAGTTTTTTGTCAAAAAAGTTTTAACTATTTTGACTTTTAATAAAAAAATTAAAAATAAATCCTCATATAGGGTACATATACACCCACAAACACAAGTGTATTTCCCCAAACAGGCAGTATATAGTGGAACGGTTGTCGAGGGCTGTTCCAAGTGCTAGATTCCAATGAAGCATCTTTCCTGCCTGAATGCATGCGGCAGTGCAGCGATAGGGGGAACAGGACGCTACAATACCGGGTCAGCTCAGACCCATATAGTGCATGTGACTGCGGAGATAAATTTAAGTCCACGAGGTGCTCGGCCTCCATTGGTATTTTTCTGTGAAGCTCCCTCTGAAAAAAGTTCGTCGTAGCATTTCTTAACCAGCCACGACTAGCTAGTGTGCGATCTACATCTACTACATAGACCATCGGGCGACGGGCTCCCGCCTGAGCAACCCGCCCCCACAACCACAAGAACGAGCTAATGGACATCGAGCTCTGGCCGATATGGGCGACGCTCGCGGTCGCCTCGCTCCTCTACTTCCTGGCCAGCCCCACACGCCGTTCCGGCACGGGGGCCGGGCGGATTCCGCCGGGCCCCACGCCGCTCCCGCTCGTCGGCAACCTGCTCTGCCTCCGCCGCGGCAACCTCCACCACACGCTCGCGCGCCTCGCGCGCGCCCACGGCCCCGTCATGACGCTCAGGCTCGGCCTCACCACCGCCGTGGTGGTGTCCTCGCGCGACGCGGCCCGGGAGGCGTTCACTCGGCACGACCGGCGCCTGGCCGCCCGCGCCGTCCCGGACGCTGCGCGCGGCCTCGGCTTCGCCGACCGGTCTATGTTGTGGCTGCCCAGCTCCGACCCGCTCTGGAAGAGTCTGCGCGGCATCGCGGCCGCCCACGCCTTCTCCCCGCGCGCCCTCGCCGCGGCGCGCGGCGTCAGGGAGCGCAAGGTGCGCGACATGGTGAGCTACTTCCGCGGCCGCGCCGGGAGGGAGGTGGACGTCGGCCAGGCCATGTACGCCGGCGTGCTCAACCTCGTGTCGAGCGCGCTCTGCTCCGTCGACGTGGTCGACATGGGCGCCGCCGAGTCAGGGCAGGGCGTGCGGGAGCTCGTCGAGGAACTCGTCGCGGTGATCGCCAAGCCCAACATCTCCGACCTCGTCCCTTTCCTTCGGCGTCTCGACTTGCAAGGGTGGCGTCGCTGGTCGGCGATGCGGATCGGGAAAATCTTCCTCATATTGGATGGCATAATCGACTGTCGTATGGCCAACACCTCCACGGAGGAGAAGCTTTCTCACGGTGACTTCCTGGACTCGCTCCTCGAGCTCTTCTCCACGGGCAAGATCGCCCGCGACGGCCTGACAGCCATCTTGTTCGACCTGTTCACGGCCGGGAGCGACACCATGGCCCTCACCGTCGAGTGGGCGATGGCCGAGCTGCTTCGGAACCCAGGCGTCATGGCCAAGGTCCGCGCGGAGATAGACGACGCTGTCGGCGGCAAGGAGAGCATCGACGAGACCGACGCGGCGGGCTTGCCGTACCTCCAAGCCGTGTTGAAGGAGGCCATGCGGCTGCACCCGGTGGGGCCGATACTGCTGCCCCACCGGGCCGTGGAGGAAGGCGTGGAGATCGGCGGCTACGCCGTGCCGGAGGGCTCGACAGTCATCTTCAACGCGTGGGCGATAATGCGCGACCCGGCGGTGTGGGAGAGTCCCGACGAGTTCGTGCCGGAGAGGTTCCTGGGCATGGCCGATGCAGACCAGGCGGTGGACTTCCGGGGCAAGGCGTTCGAGTTCATCCCGTTCGGGTCCGGCCGGAGGCTGTGCCCCGGCCTGCCGATGGCGGAGCGCGTCCTGCCGTTCATCCTAGCCTCGTTGCTGCACGCGTTCGAGTGGCGGCTGCCGGACGGCGTGTCGGCGGAGGAGCTGGACGTGAGCGAGAGGTTCACCACCGCCAACGTGATGGCTGTCCCACTCAAGGCCGTGCCCGTCGTGGTCACCTCATTAATGAACGTCACAACGTGAAAGTACACGTCACTGTGTTTCTTCACCAAGATTTCGTTATTGGATGACTCTTCTGTCATACGTACACTAGATGTCAACATAACATTTTGTCTTATTCTTATCTCTTTTTTTGCGGGGACATAACATGTTATCTTATTCTTATCTTGTGGATAAGATTATGATTAGAACTTTCTCTATATGTTGTTCCTAATAACATCTTATATTATAGGACATGGATGGAGTAACTTTTGTGGTCAAAAATCTGTTAGTGTTGATGCAACATGCCACGATGAGGCGTCGTTTCGTATCCTAAGGCATCTTTTGGTCATATTAATAAGAAAAAATATAGGGAGTAAGATAGCATGTATCTTAAATTTATGAATAAGAATAAAAAGATGTCATACGATTCACAAGATAAGATTTTTTAATGGGGTAAGCAATTTGTTTTTCCGAAACACGTTGCAGGCGCACCTGATGAGCGCACATGTCCTTTGATAAGGCATTACCTCAACGACATCTATATAGTCTGCTTTAAC